GTTCCCCACACACACACACACCTCGATGAGGAATCTTTTGAACCTGCAATCTGGATCGCCTAGGGCGAGTCTCGGCTGTCATCTGAAGGCTGCGCGCTTGCAAGCACAGCAAATATTAATTGGCATGGGGTATCCATAGCACGGCGGAGCTCATCCATACTATGGGGTGCGGCTTCTCTTCCTCTTCCTCGTAGTGGACGTCGAGCTGGAAGCGGTCGCCGCTGGCGTAACAGCTGCCTCAGCGTCTTGCCGGTGTTGAGGTTGTTCACGATCTTGTTGCTGCTGCAGGGCTCTGATACGGTCTTTTCGCTCTCTTTCAAACAGCCAAGCTCTTGTCACGGGAAACCAGACACGCTGCCATTGGTTGTTCACTTTGCTCCAGTAGTACCTCCATGACGTGGGGTCTTCGGTGTAGGTGTCGTCCCTGGCGCTGTCCATGCCGTCCGTGTTGGCTGTGCATATGAGAGCTGAGTGGCTGCGTGAATCTGACTCAGGTGGGTTGGGCCTCGTTTACGAAGTAGAAAGAGAAAGAAAAAAGAAAAAGTAAAGAAAAGAACAGAACAGAAACTAGCAGGCTGCACTCAGAGACATGTTGTTTTGCAACTGCGTGGTACACGGTCTTGTAGGCTTACTGGTATTCGCCAACTCTCAGGGACAAAATGTCTGCCTGGGATGCCTGCACACATGTCCATCGCTGAAGATCTTCGTGATAAAGCATATCTCTCACCGGCAGTGGGCAGTAGGGGCTATCCATGTCGAGTCTCGGTCTCATACGCTGAAGAGGCTCGCTTCTCTGGGAAGAGCAGAAGAGGCCATGCGTCAGGCGTTTGTCCATAGTGGCCACCCGAGTTGTGCACCTCACTTGCAGACTCGTGAGCAACATACTGTAAACGATGTCCGGCGAGATCACCTTCTCGATGAGAGTGTGTTGGGGTCGATAATCGCGAATCACCGTCGTGTGTTGAGCCTGTGGATGCTGCTGCGCGAGGGCTTCCATGGCACTTTGCACTGCTGGCGAGTGGGTTGTCTTCCACGCTGACGGCCACCATCCTGACTCGGATCTCCGTGTGGAATTTGAGGATGACTTTTACGAGGGTGGCATTGGCCAATACTTGCTGCGCAGCATAAGTGTCTCCCTCATCGGAGTAGTCGAACGAACTGGATGATGACGGCGGAGTTGTGGGTGCCGCGGTATCCATGGTTTCTAGTGCTGCTATGCTAGCACATGGCTATGGTGGTGAACAAGACAAGAAAACTGAGGGGCTGAAGTAGCAGTGCTCAAGCCGAGACGCGTCTTGTTTTTCACCAGGCATCATCTTGTTTAGGGTAGACGCAGAAGCTCACGTACCTGGAGGTCCATGTACTGCTGGTAAGAAAGCTCATGATGATACCAAGTGTGCATGCGCTTGTTGAACAAGTACATCTTGATGTCGATCGGTGTCTCCACGTGGTTGCCATCTATGGCGCGTCCAGCGCGCTTGTGCCAGGGGGCGTTCGACTGCATCTTGCACTCTGTGCTGGTTGAGGTGAGGACTTGGTTGCAGCGAAGCCACGTGGCCTTGTTGGTTTGCGCGAGGTGCACGAGCATGCGGAGGTCATGCGTCACTTCCAAGAGGGAATAAGCGGTGATCTCGGTGTGCTGGATGGCCATGTCGCACGCCAAGCTGTGTGCGTCGGCGAGGGCCATCGACTTAACTCTGATGGAGTGATTGTAATCGTCATTCGAGGCGTCCTGACGATGGCATTGACCTGGACGCCTGATCCGACACGACCAGACATGGACTTGTTGCCCCATCTGTAGAACTTCCTTCAAAGGGAGGTGATGCAGCTGTAGTGTTTGCGGGAGGTCGTCCCGCGGGTTGATTCGGCGACGGCGTGAAGCTCGCTGCCCCATCCATCTGTATAGGTCCATGCGGAGGTGTTCTGTGGGATGTAGCGAGGTTTTCTATCAACTTGAGGCTGAGCGAGGAAGCGACCGGTTACGTCTGCCGCATGCTGCTCTGTAATTTTATTTTATTTTCGCGATGTTTCTCTGCATGCGGTTGTCGCGACTGGATTGACGCAAATGTTGCAAGACATGAAAAGAAAAGAAAACTACCGAATTGTAAATTACAAATTACAAATTAAACCCAAGGCTCACAAGGTGATCGATGTCGGAGAGCTCAAGTCGGTTTGTTCGGAGTGGTGTGTACGCGGACAAAACCAGTCTGTCATCTTTCCACGGGCACGTTGCGTGCTTGGTGAGGGGGTCAAACTCCAACCCTGGCAAACGGAGGGGATGATTGCGTCCTTGATGTTGTCCTCTGGGGGATAGGTCCGGTCCATGTTCTTCTAGGAGCCAAAGTTCTCCGCGACGGAATGGCGAGAGCGGCACGAGCACGTTGGTAGAGCCTGGCTGATTGTACTTGTCAACGTGGGCGGCCATGTTCACGTTGTGTAGCAGCGAAACGGTGGAGAAGTTGGTGTGCGTGCATGCTCGAACCATATGGGCAAGAAGAGCCGAGGTCCAGCGGTACTTCCTGGTATTGCTCCGAATCCCAACTGACCCGGCGTGGTAGTAGGCGCCGGAAGAGGAGACCATGGTTGGCGCGCCACGACGCGTGAGCGCTGCCGTTGACATACCTGCTCAACCTCCAAGTGACTGCTCACGGGCAAGCACGGTGGCGGATCATCCAGCGGTAGTCCGTGTGGTAGTCGAACCGGTTGCTGGTCCACGTCTGAGTCTGAGTCCACATCTGTAAGTTCGACGCCATCTGGTGGCTTTTTGTCGGTACGTTTGCGTGGCATGGCTTAGACTTAGACAAAGAATGGGACCAAAAGGCTGAGGTCATGGCACGAAACAGACAAAAAGTACAAAATCAACACACTGCCCCCGGGTAGAGCCTTCAAACATGCTATCCCTAAAGGACGCCGTGTTTTTGCTTCATGCCTTAGGCAAAGTCTCGAATCGAAATCCGAGGCTGAGGTAGAGGTCGTCCAGCGCTTGCAGCTGCTGTTGTGCCAGAGATTGTGGGAACACCGTGCTTTCGATCATGTGCCTCCGGCTGTGGTAGCCGCTGAGGCGAAGTTTTCGGGAGCCTGCTGACTGAGGTAGCCTGTAACGCCATTGTTCAGGATGTAGAATGTAGCTGACCTGTCTGTTGTTGGCGTTGATGCAGAAGCCTAGGAAATCGTCACAGTTTTCATCTTCCAGTTGCACGGGCTTTTTGTAAAATTGTAGTGACGCGAGTTGCCAGATGTAGGGGTTGCTGTGGAGGGCCTCCTTGTCGACGATGATCGCCCGGTCGTCGACGTACCTGCGTATCCAGAGTTGATCAGCGAGATGCGCGCTTGCGACGTGTTGCCCGTAGAGACGGAGCCACATGATCTCCGTCGAGACGATGGCGCACGTCGACAGAATGGGGCTGATCTGATTGCCCATGGAG